CAAATCAACTCTAACAAATAAATAGCAATTGCAGTCAAAAATTAAATTAATATAATGTGCAGCAACTCATGAAAGTTCTTAGCTGAATATTTGTATGGAAAAGACAACCTTTAGGTAGGTCTTAAAGGCATATTTATTTAAAAATAATTGGATGGAAATGCTCTAGCATATTGTTTTGATGAGATCTATTAGTAGATGACAGGAATAAAATGAACATGTCATGAAGCTTTACAGTCTTCTTTAGGATAAATTCTTTTGGAAGAACAAAGCAGTATAAAAATTACTGTTAGCACCTTTGAAATCTAACACACACACAAAATAGAACTAATAGGCTTTCAAAGTGCAGCTTTCATGCTTGGTAGTGAAGCAGTATAATCACTCTAAATAATTCTGTCACCTTTTATAACTTTCACAGTGTTATAAATTATGAAGAAATTCAGAAATCTAAATGGTATCTTGGGTTTGACCTTGTCTTATATCACTTACTAGGTTTTGAATACTGCAGAATAGTCAGAAAAAAAGTATGTTGTTAGATAACATATTTGGCTAAGTTTATGGTGACAGAAACAATAACAATCATATTTTACAATACTAAGTTTACACTTTTACTAATCATTTTTTTTTTTTTTTTGTGTGTGTTGTGTCTCTGTAGAGATTTTGTGGTAAGTATTCTTATGATCCTGGCTGAAATTAAAGATAAAATCCTTGTTGGAGCTTTCTTGATTAAATATAATTATTATGGGAGGACTGAGATGGAAATAATTTATAAAATTTGGCTAAGTAAATAGTGTCATACATTTATTTGTAGTTTTTTTACCATGCTTATTTATTTTTCTATAGAATAAAATGGTTTTGAAGTTTAAACTGAAAAGCTATACTCTTAAGATAGTGGCCTGTTTAAAAAGAGTGGAGCAAATTATGAAGAACAAATGAATATTTGGCATATTTTGAATGTGCCCGAATTCCAGACTTGAAAATTAATTTCTTTATTTTATAGCAATGATAGTGTATTGACCCAGTAGCTTTGCCAATTCTAATATTTAGGCAGTATAGGTTTTAAATGATAATTTTATTCATGCTATATGAAACCTAACAACATATGTTAACTTAGTTCCATGAAAATTGTCTGAAAACTCTTCCCTTTGTTATTTTTAAAAATTAGCCAATTAAGAATGAAGATGTAGATCTTTACTAAGAAGTTCCTCTGATGTTAAAAGAAATAGTGTAATTATGTTTTGCCCACTCTTGGCTGTACCAAAATAACATTGTTGGATGTTTGAGCAAGATGATAATAAAAAAGTCTTATTTCTAAATTGGGTATCAGCAAATTATGACCTTGCTAAGTCATTAAGTTATCTAGGCTGGGCTTGAACTTGCAACCTCTTGCTTTAGCAACTCAGAATGCTGGGATTAAAGGCATGTTCCACTTCCCCTGGCTCATTTATGTATTGTTTACTCCTGCTTGATGTTACCAGTGTAGTGTTGAATAGTTGTTATCAAGATCTTGTGATCTGCAAAGGTTAAAGTCCTTATTAGTTGGCTCTTTAGGAAAAAATATTCTTTATATTTAAATCTTTTGTAGTTAGATTGTGGTAAAGTTCTGGAAGAGGTTTATGAGGTGAGTATTTTCATGTTTTATTTTCCATTCTACGAAATACATAAAAAGAAATACATTTACAAGAAGCATGGTTATCTTAGTGTTATTTTCCAGCTTGCTCATTTATGTATAGGGATACTTCCAATTTGCTATGAGGACTAAATGAGAATTGTAAATAAAATACTTAGTGTCTGGCACCCAGAAGGAATTTAAGCAATGGGGAGATATAATCAGTGAAAGTCTTGGTGCCTGGGTGACGTAAGTGGTATGTTTTTAAATTCTGATTTGTTCATAGATAGAGCTTGTAGAGGCCTAATGTATTCAGGATTTTTTTTTTTTTTTTTTTTTTTACCACAGGGTATGATTTTTTTATTTTTTAAGCACAGAAACATCCCCTCATGCACACAAAAAAGATGAGTATAGCAGACGACCATCCAGATGGACTTGACTTTCCGCTAATATTTTTCTTATGATATTAGATAAGTATGACCTGATTCATCTTAAATAACCATACAAACGCAAGACAAACACAAGAGCTAAAAATCTACTGGTTATTTTCTCTACAAAAATATATTTGAAAAAAATTTCTTCAATAAAATTATTTTTATATAAAAATTAGTCGCCAAAGATAGAATAATTCCTGGGATTATGAATATAATTTTAAATATCACCTCTTATCTGCCACCAGCATTTAAAATGTATTCAGGATCTTAATATAACTTTGCTGATTAATTTCCCTTCATCTTTTTCTTCCTCTTTTCCTTGCCTTTTCTCATTATCTTTCCAATCTTTTTTTTTTTGGCCTTTGCAATATTTATTTATTTATTTTTAAATGGCTTTTTAATTCATTTTAATGAGAAAATAAAATAGCAATGAAACAGTCTCGAACAGGTCAGTAGGACATTTACCATAATTAATACATTGCATATTGTCTTCATAATGGTTATTCAGAGGACAAGATGCAGACATGATATCTTGTCTAAACAATATTAGTGCAAACCTTTCTTCTCATTGAACTAATAGAAAGTAGCTGTATATCTATCCTAACTATTTTGTATATACATATATATATATTTTCACTACAAAATGGTCCTTTATTTATATCCCCCTTTTTTGTTTTGTTTTGTCAGAGATGGATGTTCCATTGCTGTTAGAGAAGCTGTATTTGGAGAAGTCTTTAAAGGACCTTTTCATACTTGATGCCAGTTCAAATATTGTAGGTACTTGAATTCAGCAAAATAACCCAATATAGTCGATAGTAGTAGTGGGTTATTAGCGGAACTGGCAATTGTCCGAAGTTGTTGACTTGAGCCTTTTACAGCTCAGCATATTAACATAACTTTTTTTTTTTTGTGGAATCGGGGATTGAACTCAGGCCCTTGCATTTGCCAGCCAAGCACTTATTCTACTAAGCCATCTCCCTGGCCCTGATTCTTACATTTATATTAAAGTTTTGAAGGAGACTTGATTGCAGATCTAGTCATGTGGAAACTGACCCTCACAGTTGTATTTTTTTTTTTTAAGAATTTTTTTCTTTTCTTTTTTTAAAAGATTATTTATTTATTTATTTTGTGTGTGTGGCCAGCTCAGCCCACCAGGGGGCGGGGCTGGCTGGCATGTGGTGCTGGGGATTGAACCGCGGTCTCTGTGTTTTGCTTAGCTCAGCTTGTTCTAAGTAGGTGCCTTAGACCACTGAGCCATCTCACCAGCCCCTCACAGTTGTATTTAAGTTAGGACAGTTGGTTATATTCTTGTTTCATGTAAATATAAAAGGCTAAGTTATTTTACTTGACAGTTGTTAACTTGGAACCTAAGTCTTTCAAGTTGCTGCAAAACCAAAATGGTATAAATAATAATGGAAGGAAAAAGGACTTTATATTTTTTGTTTTTGTTAGTATTTCTTATTATTTTGAGGCTTTTAAGTATCACAGGAAACATACCAAAAAAACCCAAGTAAAATTATAGGGAGATTATTAACATGTTAGTAGCCTCTTTTCTAAAACCTTTAGGCTGGGCTGGTGAGATAGCTCAGTGGTTAAGTGCCTGCTTTGGCAAGCGCAGGGACCAGGGTTTGATCCTTGTAAACCCAGCACTTGGGCTGAAAACAGGGGAATCATCACGAGTACGAGCTGTATAGGGAGATCCTGTACCAAATACATAAATGAAAAACAAAAACAAAAAAACAACCTTTAGGCCTTTCATTTGAAAACTTGTTCTTCATAGTAAATGTAATTCTATTTTAACTCAACTACATTCTCTTATTTATTAAATGTGTCAGAATTTTTCAAGGAATGTTCCTTTTTCTTATCTAGTATCCTAAATGAATTAAATCTAACTTTTACATACAATCATCTTACTAAGTAAAACATCTTTCATGTTAAAATTTTTAATAATAAGCCAATCATTTGACAGAGACAGATGTCAATCTCATGTTTTTCCCTCTGAGGACACTGAGTCACAGTGACTAAGGGAGGTTTTCTTAGAACGGCAAGTTGAGTTCTGAACATAAGTATTGAATTTTCCTTATTTTATGTATTTGTAGGAAGCAGACAGCAAGATTTAAAAAGTAATTTTGTGTTTAGAAATAGGTAGAAAACATGGAAGATGAGGGATTGTTTCATTAATAAAAACATTTTGCTCAGGGATTAAGAGTTTTATCTTTTCAGGATATATAAGAGTGGGAGGAGAGTTGCAAGACTTGGTGAAATAGAGTTAGTAATTAATGTTCTGTTTACTTGTAGATGAAAAAAACAGTAACATTGATTTGGGGGAATGTAAGAAAGAGACAAATTGGGAATAGTGAATTTTGTTTTCTGTTCTTTGACTTAAGCTGCTGATTTAACTGGCAGCAAGTACAGAGCAGCAAGGCTATTTTGACACTTGGTAACTGAATGCCTCATCAACTAATACAGTTTTTAGTTGTTTATGAACACTTCCAAAAATCTTGGATATTTATCCTTATTAGCAGATTGTCTCTTTTATGCTAGATCTATATCAGAATTTCTCACTTGCTCTTTTATGGTCTTGTTTCAAGTTAATGCTCCAGGTCCTTGGGTTGTTGTTTGCCATAGCCATTGTTTTAACTTTGTTTCCATGTTGTTAGTTCTCAAAACTATGTTTAGATCAAAAGGTCCTAGTTTTTTTGAGACTGTAAGGGAAACCTGAACTATAATATGTGAAGTGTATGGGTAGATTTTTCTGGTCAGTTACCTCAAATATATTAATTAATCAAAAATAGTTACTTGAAACAATTTGTGCTACCATGTACTGTTGCTTTGAAGTTTAGGTTATGATATTGAAATATTTTACAAATTTCCTTTTCAGTAATCAGACATTATTGCTATGTGCTTAATCTTTGATGAAGAATGGGAATAGCCTCATGGTGAATTCTGTTTTCTTTTAGTCAAAGGCCATTGGTTTGTTAGATGCCGATGTGTATGGTCCATCAGTTCCAAAGATGATGAATCTGAAAGGAAATCCAGAATTATCACAAAGTAAGTAAAGAGGAGAGTTACACTTTTATTTAGTACCTACTGGGTATCACTCATTGTTCTAGATGTTATGGGTACTTTATACACCACATACTATGAAGTATGTAATTCATAAATCAGATATGATGTCACCGCAGTATCGGAGTTTGAATATCAGCTGTGGGGTTTGAGTAAATTGCTTTAATCTATTTGTTTTGGGACCCTAAAAATAAAATGGTGTTGCAGTTGGTGTAAGGATTGGTATAAGTATAATGTACTTAGCACCATTCTTGGTACATAGTAAGTGATCAAAAGTGTTAGATATTCATTATTGTCTCTTTACATTAAATGGATGTGTAGGAATATTTGAATCGAAATATATTTGTTTTACAGAGATTAACATATTTTTCTTAAAATATTTTTCAAAACTCCTAAAATACTGAATTATCTCCCAGCCTATTAAATGTATTAATATGGAGAAATATTTTTGAGTGACTCTTTACTGTTTGTTACTTTTTTTTTTTTTTTTTTTTTTTTGTGGTACCGGGGATTGAACTCAGGACCTTGCACTTGCCAGGAAAGCGCTTATTCTACTGAGCTATCTCCCTCACCCAGTTTGTTACTCTTGTTATTACATTTTCTTATCTACTTACAAACCTTTTAGAACAAAGAAATGCTATGATCAAAAATGAAAAATTTAAAAATCTGTTAATTCTTTTGAAAAATAGTTTATATGAAAGGATTAGATGAAATTGATTTCTAATTATAATAGGTATAAAATTGTATACTTTTTTCTTTGATATCTTATTTTGCATTGATCTAGTACAAAATGATTGCATTTATTGGTGGATATTTATTGGATTATCTATATAGTAAATAGGATTATTATGTTAATTGTTGTCAAAAGTTAATTAGGCATTGTAGCTCTTTAAGATACTTTTGTTTTTGGTTTGTTGGTGTCAGTTGTAATGTTAAAGTCTGGATAATTCTTTATCAGTTAGTAAGATTCTAACATTCTGAAGAAAATTTGAAGAGGTAGTGGTGTTAAAATTGACTCTAGCAGTCATACATTGTAAGGCACTTACATAGTTTTTTCATGTTTTGTGAAAATATAAGCTTGAAAAGCTGTGACTGTAGTTTCTTTATTGTTATGCTTTTAATGCAATACATACTTAGTTTGCAAATATGTGACATGAGCCAGGATGTCAAAACTTCACAAAGAAGTAATTAATTTGCATATTATAAATGATAGCCATTATGTCTGTCTCTTGATTAAAGTACTGTGAAAACTGGTGCATGCAGCACATGAGTGATGGCAAAATGGAGCCTTCAGTGTCATTCTTCTTTAAAGGTAGCCTGTTCCCACAATGCCAAAATAAATACTTAAAGTGAACTTTAATTTCTTTCTTCTTGCTTTACTGAAACTGTAATCTTAGATTTGATGTTTTCAAATTGTCTGCCATTAAGTAGGCTGTTTTGTAGAGACAAGATACTGAAAGTCTGAGAAATTTGAGGAAAAATACTTCTTTTGTGTTGTCACCCTGATCTTAAGTTGCCTGGGAAATAAATTGAATGATTTAGACATTCACTTAAAAGAGTGTGGATTCTTGAAAACCTAGCATATAAATTATTTTTTGAATCTTAGAAAAACCTGCTACCATTATACTAATTGGCATCATTTTGACATTTCTACATTTTTATCATGTTGATTTATTCTGTGATAGTCTCTATTACTGAAAATGCAATGCAACATAAAATTATCTATTAATAATAAAGAAGAGCTGTCAGTTTTTAGGGAAGTGGACCAGGGACTGAATCCTAGCTTTGTAGGCATGCTTCTATTGCAGGACTAAACTGGGCAATCATAGAGGGTTAGAGGGACTTCAGCCTTCCTTGTTTGTCTTCATTACTTAAGTAGAAATATGTTAATATAATGTTTGTCAATTTGTTCATTTTTAAGATTGTGATAATCATACATTTATTCACATTCTCTTCATGTCTTTTTTCTTTTTGGGAGAATCATAGACAAACCGTATCTTCTACAATTATAAAATTTTCATTTTGATAATCTAATTTTATATTTAAGTTTTAGAAAAGCAAATTCAATAACTGAAGGGAAATTTTATATTTTTAATAGATTTGGGTTTCTTAGGTTGATAATGTTTCTATCAGGATAAAGTGATGATAGTGATTTTTCTACTGTTATACAAAGTGGTAATGGGAAGATTAGACAGATTGTAGAAAGGATATACAAAAATATCAACAAATTGATATGGTGTTGACTGTTAGTTCCTTTGGGAGCCAAAAGCTATTTAGAATAAAATCAATGTGTGATTGGAGAAACTAGCATCTAGGATGGAATATAACCTTTTTCAAAGGAACAAATGCCTGTTATTTTTCTCCCTTTTAATTTTCTAAATGAGACAATATTCAGATTTTGTATTAAAGCATAGCCAAGTTATATAGACTTAGAAATTCTTGACTGCAAGGTTTTCACTTGAAACAGCAAATAAATATTAAGTTATAGTCACAAGCATGTGCTGATGCATTTCTCCAGTGTAGTATTTTTTTGTGAGCCTTTGTTGAAGGGGTGTGTGTGTGTGTGTGTGTGTGTGTGTGTGTGTTTGGCGGAACGGGGGATTGAACTCAGATCCTTGCGTTTGCCAGTCAAGCACTTATCCTACTGTGCCATCTCCCAGCCCCTGTTGAAGTTTTTCACTAAGCTATTTGAAATGACTTTTGATGATAGGAATCTGTTTCTTTTACAGTTTTGTGATGATAAATCACTTTCTGAATATTTATGAATTTGTTACTTAGTTTTAGTGAAGAGTGTCTTTTAATGTGCTGAGCTAATAAGGTGGGAAAATTTTAAAACCTATGGAGTATTAAAATGAAAATGTGAAGTAATTTTATTGAGAGTGACATAATGCTTATTAATGACTAAATATGAGATTTTTTTGGAGTAGATTATACTTTTCTATTATTGTGGGATAGTAATTTTGCATTCATGTTATAGTTCTTTGTTTTATCTGCTCTAATATGCAAAGCTTTTTTCAAGTTTAGGAATGAATGTGTATATGCACTTAGGATAATTTGTAGAAAATCAGCTTGAGCAAATGACCTTTTATAATAGCACATCTCTGGAAAAAGCTATGTGGAAGAGTAAAATTTCTTAAAGGTAATTTAAATGCATAAAAGATGAGAATCTGCGCTAGATATTCTTGAAGTTAAGCATGTTGTTTTATGGGAGTTGCTGAAATTGTTGATAATAAGTGCTCATAGATCCTGTGCAGCTCCAAAACTTGACTTATGATTTGTTTCTTTTGGTTATTGCCTTGTGGACCCTTGGGTTTCATCTGCTGCTAGAGTTCCTCTGATTATCTTTAGGGATATGCCTGGGGTGTGTCACTTAAAAATAGTGCTACTGAAGTGACTTTTTCCTTCCCTTTTTTTTTTTTTTTTGAGTCTGTTTTTATCTTGTATTGTGGGTAGAATATTAAGCCAAAGTTAGAATATTAAGCCATAAACGAGGGTTAAAAGAAACTTAAAACTTTGTTCTGCTCAGGCTGTAGGCATTTTTTGCTCTGAAATATCTTAAAGGTGAGAGCTACAGTATGTTCTCTGAAGAATCTCCTTGTTCTTGTTCAGTAAAGTGAAAGCTCATTCACCTCTCCACTTGGTTTGTAGTTTCCTATATAGTTCATTGATGAGTTTGAAATGTAAATATGTGCCTAAAGTAGTAAAGCTCTTTTCCTCTGACATTCTCATCCAAAAAATAATCAGTCTCTCTTTGAATTTTTATTACTTTGCTGCAAACCATCTTAGCTGGGGATTGCAGCAAATGAAATCATTGGAAGACTGTTTATTCAACCATAGAATTACTCATATTTTGGAGCTGCTGCCTGTTTAACTGTTATTTTTAGGGTTTTTTTTAATAGGTTGTCAACAAATAGGGTTGATTGTGTGTGTGTTTGTGTGTATGAAATAAACAATACATCTTTGTATTTGTGATAACACATGCTGCCACTGAAGTCAGGCGTTCTCTTTTTGTGTTTCTCTTTCACTTTTTGTGTTTCACTTTTTGTGTTATATCTGAGACTATCCTTGAGATGTACAGGATAGGTTGTTATGTGGCCATTAGTGATATGGCTTCTTTGTTAACTATCATTATGCTTCTTATTTCTCCTTTCCAGTCTAGTTTCAGATTAAAAATAAAAATAAAAGATCTTTTCTTCTTATTTCCTAACTTGTTGGTAATTTGAAATATCTTCTAAATATTAAAGGGCCAAGGAGATAGCTTAGTACCGGCCTGGCAAGTACAAGGTCCCAAGTTTGATCCCTGGTATCACAACAAAACAAAACAACCTTAAATATTAAAATAATCACTTTTCATTGTCTTCTTTCAGATAAGAAAAACTAAAAGAATTTACTATTATTAGGTAGAAGGACGATTAGCTTGCAGTTTTCTTTATAAAACTGCTGTATTTTGTGCCTTATAATGCTATTGAAAATAGGCCCCATTAGTGCTGATCCATGGTTACTTGAATAATTCACTGGACACTTCAGAAACCTTTTAGTGGTACTTAACAGAACTTATCCCTTTGCCTTTTGGTTAACGTAAGGTAAAGTATTTAAGATAGTAATTTGGAGGGCTGGTGAGATGGCTCAGTGGTCTAAAGCACCTACTTAGAACAAGCTAAACACAGCACAGGGACCGCGGTTCAATCCCCCAGCACCACATGCCAGCCAGCCCCGCCCCCTGGTGGGCTGAGCTGGCCACACACACACACACACACACACACACAGATAAATAAAAAAAAATTAAAAAAAAAAAAAAAGAAAGAAAGTAATTTGGAGCGGGGCCTGGCCTTAGCTCAGTTGTTTAAGTGGCTGCTTCCACAAAGCTGTCAGCCTCAGGTTGCTGTAGTTCGATCCCCACAACACTCCAGCCAGCCAAACTACCCCTGAGGGCATTCAGATAAAAAAAAATAAAAAGTAATTTGGTGAAGGTAGAGTGTGAAAAT